CGGGCGGACGGACGGACCGACAGCCAGCCAGCCAGCTGCTGTTTCATCAGAGCCTTTATCAAACGCGCGCTTCTTCTGAGGTCCTTCATCCCGCAGGCAAACGCGGTAGGTGCTCGCCCGCCCAGCTCGTTTGCAGCGCTTAGCGTCTGATCTTCTGTCAATTAAATCAAGTCAGCGTGATTTTTCTTTTTTTTTTTTTGCCCTGTTTTCCCCGCAGCGAGCCCAAGGCGGCTGCCTTTTTTCTTTTTTTTCCCCCGTGTCCCGAAGGGTGTGCCTGACTTTTAGCGTGTCTGTGCTATCGTTTTGTACGTGTTACTGCCTTTTTATCGGTGTTGCCGTTCTGGTCTGGCAGCGCAGCCAGCGGCACGTACTCCCGCAGAGAGCTTACACAGGCAATGCACAGGTGCGCGACCAACCCCACATCAGATCACACCATCCTTGCATTCTCGTGCTCCTCTTCAGGAAGGTGGTTTTCAGGGTTTATGTTTAATGTCTAACTGAATTCTGTGAGGGATTTCACTTGTAAGACTGTGAAAAATTTAATGTAGCAGTATGTACCTGGCTTGATTTCCAGAAAGTGGTAAGCAGCCACAGCTCCCGGTGTTTAGTTGGGAGTTGTGCACCTTCACGGTCCAGGGTAAGTGGGCCCCTTTTCCTCTGCTTGCGAACTTAGTGCTACAAAATGGGAATCTGAAATATAATACTTCACAAAATCAAAACAGTTCAATCTTGAGGGAGTTACAATTTCAACATGTTTTCCAGTCAAAGGCTTGAAGGAGTATTTCTCCAGTTTTATCTTTTCCCAGTGAGAAGGGATGCAGTCCGGGGGGTAGGTAGCAAAGCAGATGCCGTGCAGGTACACTTTGAAGGAGCTGGGAGGGCATGAGGGGCCTGTTCATGTGTCGGGAGCCAAGAGGCGGTAAGAAGGAGCAAATGGAGGTGAGGAAGTGAGGAATGGAGCTGGGGATCATATGTTTGGACCCCAAAAGCGGGTTGTCAAGAGCAAGTCTGGCAGAAAGCAGTCTCAGAGAAAGGAGGGCAATTACTCCAGTTGCTGTTAATGGCCAGAGGGACTGTCTTCTGGATTTCTGGTGTGAGTTAAGACTTCAAAGCGTGAAAAAAAGAAAGGTGAGTGGATATCCAGGTGTTGCTATTTTCGAACAATGTAAACACACATTTAACTCGCAGTGGATGGGGAAAGAGGTCTTGAATAATTATTATGCTTTTCTTAACGCCAAGGCGGCTGCTGGCTTCTTCCTCACCTTGAGTCGCACCGCTCCAGCATTAGCGGGGGAGCCCTCCTTCCTGAGCCACTGGGTGCCCGCTGTGGTCAGCGCTAACTACAGCTCGCCCAGCGAGCAGGAACAAACAGGGCAGTCTCAGTTGAACCGGTGCGTGCAAAAGCAGGAGGAAACCATTATCAGCCAAACTCAGAGATAACTGTTATTTTATTTTCAAACTCGGAGTGAAACAATAAGGTAGGATACAAGAACAAGTAATACAAACAAGATGTAGAAGCCATCCTTTTCACCAGACACAAATCCATCCAGGATTTTTTTTTTCTCTAGGAACTTCATGCTCATTTGAACGGCTGTATCAGTTCTGCCACTATGAAGAAACTCATGGCCCAGAAGCCATACCTTCAGATCCAGAATGGAATGACTGTGATTGACAAGGGAAAGAAAAGAACCTTGGATGAGTCAGTATACACGCGTGTGTGTGATGAACATTTACTGAGTGTCTTTTAATTATGTTCAAAACAGAGACATGTATGGCCTTACACACTGCAGAAAATACATTTTCAAGTTTTGGTTGCAGTACAATGTTAGATTTTTTGCTATTTGTATCTATAGAATAACTTCTTAGGTGTTTGCAAACTAAATGGAAATCCTGTATTGATTAATTCCCCTTTTAAAGGATGGAAAACTTTAATTTGTAGCATATGCTCTTCCATTTCTCTAGAGAAAATGGACTCATAGTTTCCTTTTTTGGAGCCTATATGTTTTCCTTCGTGCTTCAAAAAGCTTTGTCATAATAATAAAAATGTCTGTTGCAAATGCATTGTTAGCATCTAAAATCAGAAATGGCCATTCAGATGGTGTTTGTATTTTAAGCTACAAGGTGGTTAATCGAGCATAGTGAGTGCGTGTTTTCAAAGTGTAGATTTTTTTTGAATACTCATTTTACTGCTCAAAGTTTGTCCATTGTGGGTTTTTTAACTTTTTGTTTTAGATGTTTTCAGATGTTTCAGATAATCTATCAGATTACCACTAGGACTGAAGATATCTTAATGGTAAGTTAATTAAAAGTTTGCTTAACACAAGCAAGCGATACACACAGTCAAAATTAGTTGGATTAACAGCATTGGGTTCCAAGTAACAGTGTCAACAGTGGTCCCTTCAACTGGAGGTCAGAATCATTATTGTAAAACACGTGAACTTAGAAACACAGGATTTTATATAACTTTTAGTTTTTGTGAAAGCAGTCAGCTTCCGATATGGTGGTCATTATGACCACTCGGATGCTTGGACTGATAACATCTTAAAAAATGCGACGATGTTCGTTGTTACCAAAGCTTTGATTTACCTGGTCTCCGGTTTCTCCTTGGGTTCATTACATGCCAAAACTACAGAATTAGAATTGCCCTTTGTTCACCACAGATGACAAAACCGTCAAGGAGGACAGTTGTGTGATCAAACCAGGGAGCAGGAAGTGGCGCGGTCTCCTCTCCTCTCCTCCTGTACGGGGGCTCTTAGGCAGCCTGTTAAATGACAGGAAGGTACAGCGGCTGTGCAAGGAGTCATGACTGCACCAGTTGAGGGGTATTCTTGTTCAGACAAGGAAATTCTCGTTTGTCCTAACTCTCTTCACCGTCACTGAGGGAACCAAAGGTACCTTCCGTGGGGCAGTATTCCAGAGAGGGAGAGCGCCAAAACCACACAGGGCCTGAAAATTTTGCAGGTGTTTCATGCCAGAAGATATCTGTGTCTTTTAGTTGTGACGGAAAATATAACCCATTATAAGCATTACTTTCATGATGCTGAATACACTGCTTCTTAATCAGATAACTAAAGATGTTATTAAAGAATTTGCTGATGATGGTGTCAAGTATCTGGAATTGAGAAGCACTCCTAGAGAAGAAAAGTCCACAGGTACAGTCTGTTCTGGTTATTAATTTGTAAGTCTGATCTGCTATAAAACTTAGTTAAGACTCTGTTAATGACAAGTAAAGTCAAATTTAGTTGGTTCAATAAAAATATACTTTAAATATAAAAGGAAAGATTTAACCATGTAAAGCATGTCACTGTTAGATTTTTGAGGACAAAAATGTGTTGGTTATTACTCTATTACCCAAGAATTTGGATTATTCGCTTTAGTATGACACCTGAGTCTGCTAATATTTTTAATAGCTGATATTTTTTCTTCTTGTTACTTCATTTTTTATTTTCTTTTAGATGTGGTTTAATAGAAATGCATAAGACAAGTCCTGTTGCTACTCGCTGGTTCATGCCAAGTTATTTTCCTTCTTCCAGATGCTTAGGAGAGGCTTAATTCAAATGTCTGCTTCAAACTAAAGCTCTATTTATAAACAGAATTGGAACTATATAGATTAGAAGACTATGGACTAAAATCGAAGGTGCAAAATGGAACTTAGGAGGCTAGAGAGCTCGGTCTGCAACATCATAAAATCAATTCAAATGTGTTTATTCCAAATGTGTACATGTGTTTGTAGGTATGACCAAAAGGATGTATGTTGAAACTGTACTTGAGGGTATAAAGCAGTGTAAAGAAGAAGGCTTGGATATAGATGTAAGGTAAATAAAGCACACGGAATACCTCTGTTTCAAGGTTTTGCGTAGTCCAATGCGCAGTCGTGGTTTGCAGAGAGGTTTACAAACCATCAGTATAGGAAAGAAAATTGTGCTTAAACTAGACTACATGAAATGGAAACAGGTAATTCATATGGAAACCTGCATTTTTATCTTCCTTTTTACTGATAGAGAACGAAACTGGGTAAAGCTTTTCAGTTCTAAGACTGTCCATTCTCTGCAGCATTTTTGGGAAAAGCAGTGTTTTTGATGGAAATTGCATTAAAGGGCTCTTTTTTCACAGCCTAGATTGATTCCAAAGATTTTGCTTGATTAGCTGTATGAACAATCTGCTGTCAAGGAGAGGCAGTCCTAACCAGCAGAGAAGTTTCCGAAGGTGGTGGTGGTTGCTTGGAGGCAGTCTGCTTGCCTGTCTTCTGTACTCTTAGTAGCAACCCTTGTTAGATTTATTTGTGGAAGCTGAAGAGTTCTCGTTCTTCATGTGTGCACCTTGGAGAGGTTGCTCGCTTGATAGTGCAGGCAGTTGGTGGGCGGTGCATTGTTCCCTGCCCTCCCTTTCACCATGGCTATTGCATTTCACAGGCTAATGGTTTTATCTAATTTGTGTCCCCCTGCACGCTGGTACCTCCATTTCTTTAACAGTTTCCGAGGCAAATATTCTTTATGCTCAACCATGAAAGATGTGAAGTGCCGTTTTTGTTGGTATCAGATTTGTTGGTCTCCTGATACTACAGCTTGTGTTTAATGAAATATGTACATTTCTATCCTAGACTGTTAATAGCAATAAATAGAAGAGGTGGCCCGGCAGTTGCTAAGCAGACCGTTAAACTTGCTGAAGAGTTTCTCCTTTCCACTGATGGGGTCGTGGTAGGACTTGACCTCAGCGGTGATCCCACCGTAAGTTTTTGTTTTATT